AATTCAGCCGTCCGATCTTTTAAAATCAAGAAATTAATTTTATATGGCTTTATCTACGTATCATATTTTTTGCTCAAAGATTTGGTTATCGAGAAGTTAAGGAAATAACTAACATTTTTTTCAAATTCAATTGTGTAGTTTTTATATGTTTTAAGAATCTAAAATTTTATAAATTTGCAAAGATCTTTTAATGTCCATGAGGTAGAAAAAAAAATTGAGGAATTTATTTTCAGATAAACTGCAATTACCGGTACACCCTATAATTTTTATTTTATAAAAGTGTACATTTTTACTTAATAAGCTAAATTGGGTTGATATTAGTATTTTCTTTTTACGTGAAATGTTTATATATCGATATGTATACATAATACTGAAAGTACTCGTCTGATTGAAAGGTTTAATTTTTATGGAGTTATTTGAACAGGGAAAGAATTTAATGATAAACACGACTGACTATGAGAGAACCTTTGAATATTGTCTGAGATCTGCTGAATCGAAACATGTCAAAAGGAAATGGTATACAGTGGATGGCACTATCAGTTCGATATCGGTGATTATTTCAAGTCACAGAGTTCTATCATTTTGGTGAAAGAATAGAGAAAAGACGTTCATTTATTTTCTTGAATCTGCAAAGACCGATTTTGAAATGGGAATTTTGAAAACATTTCTTTGTTACAATTATGAACAACCACATAACCAAATCTGACCGTAATTGTTTATTTAATAATTCTATACGTAGAGATAGACCAATTTCGGTCAGATTTGGTTATGTGATATTGCTAGTGCTATTTTTACTACTATTGAAATCCACTGGCTCTGGTATGGTGTTATGAACATTACAATTCTATATACAATATATTGTTTCTTTCTAGTTTATTTGCTCATCCTCAATGATTGTAAAAAAATCCTGGTAATATGAAACAAAAAGAACTTTTGACGCTGTGTCGTTTGAGAAAAGTGCATAAAGCACATTTGTTTCAGATATTATGTACGAATTTACTCTGTTTCAACATCGTGCTTTTCGTTATGGTGAAACTGTCTACACACAGTTAATGAGAACCGGTCAGAGTATAAAGAAAGTTTAAATTGTGTGTATAATAATGAAGAATCCATTTATTTTAAGTTTATTGAACGTTGCCTATACCGTTAATGAAATTGAGTAAACGTTTAAATATTATTAATATTTTGGTCTTTTATTAGACTTATTCTAATATTTCAGTATTTCTTAAAGAAAAAAGTTATAAGTTAGTAGGTCGTAATTCTAGATATGAAACCTGTTTGAATTGTAATGAATATAATTCAGTAATTTGAAAAAATTGTGGTGTCAAATTTGCGATCCCCTATATTAAAATTCAGGAGTGAATGAGTCGTAATAAAGAAATTGATGATCTTTTAAAATCTTTACAATATATACATAGTTCTTCTTATGGTAGTATAAAGGTCGAATAGTTTAGTTCAATGGATTTAAAGATATTAGAAAGATTGGTAAAGTGCATAGAGCGACATGTTTAGATGAAATAATGGAAACTTATCGATTAAAATCCAATATATTTGTTGCACTTAATAACATTATCACTAAAGAGGTTAAGAATCATATAAACTTAATGACTTTATAAAGCTTGAAGCATTTGGAATAACTCAAAATACAGAAGTGTCACCTATGGTAAGAGAATCTGCAACATCTACCGTATTTTGCGGAATAATAACCCCGGATTATCATACTATGCTTATTTATAATGCTAA